AATTCAGTTTCTCCGCTGAACTCAGCGAGAAAAATCGACGTCCCGTGACCCATGCAACAATTCAGTTTCTCCGCTAAATTTGGCAGGGGAATATACGTTACGTGACACACCAATTTTCTCTCCCTCACTATTCCGATAGCCCTCCTACAGTGCCCTCTCCCTATCCTTCTCCCTTCCTCTCCTTCCCGCCTTCCTTCACCCTCCTCTCTGTTCAGAAAACACTCTAAATCAATTTCTCAAAAAGTGATAAAAAATATAGGTTCTTTACTCCCGGGGCGGCTGTTTTATGTCGTCCAAACAATTAAAGTAATCGCTCCTAAATACTGCGTTTCATGCATTATGCAACTTTCAACATGCTGCCATTTTTTAGAGCGCAGCTCCTAGGCGCCCGATTCCGGCTTGAGCGGTGCCGCCGTCACCGTCGGCGTCGGCGTCGATATCGGCGTCAGCGTAACCGCGTGGTGCATTATGGGTAAATTTCCCCGCTAAATTTAGCGGAAAATCTTGCCCGCTAAATTTAGAGGACAAATTTCCCCGCCAAGTTTAGCGGAAAATTTCTCCCTCTAAAGTTAGCGAAAAAATTTTCCCGCTAAATTTAGCGGAAAATATTTCCCTGCTAAATTTAGCGGAAAAAATTTCCCCGCTAAATCTAACGGAAAAAAATCCCCACCAAATTTAGCGGAAATTTTTCCCCGTCAAATTTCTAAATTTAGAGGACAAATTTCCCCTCCAAGTTTAGCGGAAAATTTCCCCCTCCAAAGTTAGCGAAAAAAATTTCCCCACTAAATTTAGCGGAAAATATTTCCCTGCTAAATTTAGTGGAAAAAATTTCCCCGCTAAATCTAACGGAAAAAATTCCCCACCAAATTTAGCGGAAAATTTTCCCCGCCAAATTTAGCGGAAAAATTTTCCCCGCTAAACTTTGCGGAAAATTTTCCCCTCTAAATTTTGCGGAAAATTTTCGCCTAAATGGGAGGTGAGCAGAAGAGGAGGAGGGGCATAGCCTCCTCTCCATACCTTCCCCTCCTCCTCCTCAAGAGCTGCGCTCTAATTTGGCGTTACAAAAGATTGTAAACTTTCATTTTTTTAGGATTCAGATTTTTTTTTTAAAGAAACACTATGTATAAAGCTTTATGTACTTTTCCACTTGAAAAAAAAAAGTTAATTCCACACGATATTGGTTTATAAATAAGGTTTTGTGTTTGAGACACATATCAATGAACACCGAAAATTAACCCCCGGGGGGGTTTCTCTGAATCGGTGAAAACCGAAAAATCTCGAATTGAATCCTCGAAAGACAACAAACAAAACAACGCCATCTTCACGAAAAGAAATCTTGCATGCTATTTTTTCTCTCTCGTTGATTTAGAACAGAGCCACATTGAACTGTCCTTGGGGTTGTTCCTTTCTATCGAAACCACATTCCTTGTCCCGTTTCCTTTTCTTTACCAGCCTTACTGAATAAAATAATATTATTTATAATTAGTCCTCTGATTTCTCGGAGTTTATTTTTGAACAAATTAGGAGGGTGTTTTTCGGAGTATGTACTTTTTCGCAAATTCAGGGTGCTCGCTTGTCTTTTAAGTAATGTTGCAGTAAATCTCAGAGTGTTTGTTTATTAACTTTTTATTGTTCACAGAACTAAGCATTTCAGGATTTTAGCGTGATATTGATCTGTGCTCTCAAACTCGCCTCGAGATCGTGCACGTAGACCTCTGGCAGGTATTTTCGGTACACTTGAGTATTTGACGGCATTGTCTGTGCAGCTGGGCAGTTGTCCCTGAAAAGGCTGCCAAGATGCCCGTCCGTGTGATGGAGTGGTATCCCTGCTTGGCAAAGTGCTCGGCAGAACTCGTGCGAGATGTCATCACTCATGAGCGTTTTCCTTGGTACTTCTGTTTCTTGTCAGGCATTCCTTTAGAAAGCCTTAAATGGACACAATAAAAACCTTGCCTGCTCGGCAAGGTTTTTATTAGTACATGATAGGTGAGAGCCCAACTACCCAGAAAACAATTCGCGGCTCGAAATTCGTTTTCTCTCTGCCCGAAAACCGCCGATCGAAAAGTGGCATGGTTTGAGTCGCGCTCACTCTCTGCTCCGTGGTCACGTGCCGTTTTTTATTGTCTAGACACAACCCCCAAATATAATCGAAGTCGTAGGTCATTAAGGCACACACACAATATTAAATCTAACAAATAAATATGACACCCATTTATTGTGCTTCCAAAAAATTGCAAATATGTTGATCGGGGCAAAAAAGGTATACCACAGCCACGTGACTTCCGGCCTCCCCAGTTCAGTTTCGGTTTCTGTTTCGAGCACTTGCGTTTTTTTTCTCGTATAGCAAAATATTGATTGGGTAGTCTTCTAACAACACAGTACATCGCCTGGCAAAAAATAAAAAAAAAAAATTGTGGGATGTCAGCCTCCCTTTAATGATACAAATGACCTAGGCAAAAAATTCGAATGTAACAATGATGTTTTTTTTAAATATACAAAACATCAAAAGCTCAACTGTTCACGATACAATATAAATTTCTCCGAAAAAGTTCAATCTGAATACACTCACCTTTCTCGAGACAAGGTTTCTTCAGCTGGATATGCCGATTTGAATTCAGGTGCTCTGCAATGCGGAGGGCATCCTTTCCATTTGGCGTGCTGACTTGGACGAGGCAGAACTTGCAGATAATAAAGTCGTTACTGGAAGTCGCTTCAAAGTCTGAGAGTTCCTTGGCGTAATCACCAGGGAGCTTGCGCTTCCTGCCCATTGCGCGGATATACTGGCAATAACTGAATGAATCTCGAATTGCTTTCGTCGGCACGGATGGCAAGGAAACGTGAGCAAAGGTTCAATCTTCAACAAAAGGCTCGCCAAAGAAGGCTAAGTCTCGGGGGAAAAAAATAAAAGCACATCTGGGTGCAAAACACCAAGTGAACGGGAGGGGAAGGTGGGGGGGTGCTTGACCTTGGTGCGGCTATTGTTGTTGGGTGGATTCTTTAGCTCTTCCTGAGAAGTGGCCGGAAGGACATTCTTTGTGAAGCTTAGAAACAACATTGAAACAAGCAAAAGTAGAAAAAAGGACAATGGGAAAAAGTTGTCCTTTACAGCAGATCCAGCAGATCCGAGTGAGCGTGGTATCATTTGAGTAGCATCGTCAAACAAATTATCTCCTTCCGTCTTTCTCCCTGTGCGTAGAAGTAACACGCTTTTTTTTTTAAATTTGTTTTACAAATATCTACAGTCCCAAAATTTAACTGTGATAAATGAAACACCTAAAGACACGTACATATGGGGAAAGTTTTAGTTCACACTGTTCAATGGTTTATTTATGTTTTTTTTTTGTTTGTTTGCTTACGACTGAATAGCCCCATGGAGAACGCTTTGTAGCTTTTGTACGCGCGCGTTTTGTTTTGACGGGAATATGCACAAGGCATACACAGTAAAGGTGAACATGCCCAGTTTGCTTAAACCAGCCAAGTAAAATCGCTTGTCACAAATTTCTAGACACGTAAATCATTTTGGGGAGTCAGGCCAGCGCTATGACAGAGCTGACACATGGCAACTTGTGCAGGGAAGACCCAAGCCTGTCGGCCTTTTGAAGGAACCGCATAAATTTTTTTTTTAACGTATCGCGCTACGATTTACCGGAGGCCTGTGTGAAGGTGGTGCATTAAACATTTTGACACATAAGAACATAAACCCACCTTAATTAAACAAAAAAAAAAAAAAAGATTTGTCGCATGGACGAATGCTCAGCTAAGACTTTTCCCCACGAAATCTTTAAATAGCATTGTGAACGGTTGTAGCGTTTAAGGGGTAGAAAGAAAAAAAAAGTTTTTAATTTCGCCCCTTTATTTTTCAAAAATAAATGGCCCATGGCCCACCATGGCATTTTCGCCGCAAACTATATATTTTTTGTAAACATTTACTCAGGTAAGTCATGGCTTCATATTTTTATTAAAAAAAAAAAAAGCATCACCATTGCATTACACCTCTGCACTAAATTGCATCGCAATCTGTTAAGAAACCAACTTGTGCGGTTCGTTCGGAGGTCCAACGTGCCTTCAGGTCCACCCTGTAGATTACCATAGAATGCCCCATTACGATGCAGAGCCGCGTCACCAAGGTTAGTCTGGATGGATGAATACATACGGCTGAACGCTTTCAATTAGGCGGCGGATTGCGTAACCTAGCCCGTGTTTTAATAACGACAATTAATCTTTAACTAAGATCCATTACATGGTAATTGTTTTAATAATAATACTGCTAATAACTCACTGCGACTTAGTGTCCCCAATGACTCACAATCTTATTACGATAGAGCCAGCTTGACTGGACGTCGCAACATGGTGGATCTATTAACAAGACCACCCATATCACAGTGTTGTACTTTCTTCTGCACTATTTGTTTCAGCCGTAATTCGTCTATAAATGGCTTTAGGTTACCATACATATATGCAGGTTGGCAGCTTGAATCGTAGATCATGATTTTTACGTCTGCGTGCAATAATTTTCACAATGTTCCAATCTCGCCTGGCATGTGCAAACCTTGTTCTCTTGAATTCTCTCCGCAGGAGTTGTTGGGAGTTCCCCAAAGAGGTGGGTGGTTAATGATTTGAATATAATTCCTTTTGTTTTCTCCCGGAATAGTTTGATGGTAATTATATTGAGCTATAACATACGTAGCTTTTTGTTTACCATCGATAATTCTATTTTTGGGAAGCGCTGCATAACATCTGTCGCTTAGGCACCTTAACATAAATAAGTTGCAAGCTTTCGGTTACTTTCTGTGGCATATGATTCTACGATGAGGGTTACAGGACCGCTCCTTAAGTTCAAGGAAAGCTCACGCTGTTGGCTTGGGGGTATCGTGTCAACAATTTCTAATCATTTTGGTATAGATATAGATACCAACGTGTAAGTGAACATCGTGTGCATAATGTCGTTTCATGCTGATTTACGTAGGAAGTCAATGGTAAAAGATAGTAGGACGTAAAACTCGGTTTTGTTCTTGTTTATTAAAAAAAAAAACTAGAGCAAAATGGATGAGACGACTAAGATCACCAAAAAGAGCCAAAACACTCCCTTCGAATTATTGTTTTTCATTTAAATGAGACAAATAGTGAAACAGCAAAAATGTTTCGTATTTAAGACAAGGTCATTCTTAACAAGACATAACTCATTCGGCCTCAATAAATTAAGTAGTAGCCTGGCGTTCAACACAAACAAATAACAACACAAACAAAACATCAATTACGCTACACAACTGAAGGATTATCTTGTCACAGAACAGTGCGCTAGGGTACCTATGGTAAGAAAATGAAATCCGCTCAGCGAAAATGGCAGCTTAAACTAGCGTTGCGATGCTTAACTTCAGAACCAGTCCTCGCGGTCGCAACACTCAGTCGGTCTTCTTAACCGAAGGGACCTCATGCGAAGCTCCTTCCTTTGTCTTCTCAACTTTGTCTGTGAGCGGAGGAACTTGAGACACCTCAGGCTTGTTCTTGTGGGTTCCTTCAGGATGCTTCACATGTGTGCCCTTCGCAGCTTCATGTTCTTTTGGAACTTCGGAGACGTCCACATGTCCCGTGGTCACGAGGGTCGGCTTGGCAGGGATTGGGGCAGGAATGCCTGGAGCCACGCCGTCGTCCACGACCAAGATGTCAACGGGAACCACAGGGACGCTCTGCGCGCTCCGCTCGACGTCATCCATGATGTAGCGAAGTTCGGTCGAGGGAATGGCTGGGATCACGGGACTTGGGATTCCACTGGCGGCCGCCTGTTCCTCGATGGCCAGCATGAGGGCGTCCCTGGCGACGTCCACAGAGGGTGGGCTCTCGATGCCTGAGATCGGGATGCTGGGGTCGGCTTCGTTGTACCACGTGGCCCCTTGGAACTCAGTTTGTTCAAGCTGCTTATCACCTGAAAGATAAAAGAAAAGGGCATTACCATATACAAGTAAATCTAGCAGCAGAAATTTGATTGCGGGCAAAGGCTAGTTCTTAAAAATCCTAACACTGGCAGCAGCGTCCTCCTCCTTACAGCATTTAGTTTTTATGGTGAGAAAACGGTGTCCACCAAAAAGTGTGATCAACTAAGGAAGACTTCCACTTAAATTTTGCAAGGTGTTTTTAAAAAAAATAATTACTACTTTAATATCTTACGCAAGACTTGATGTAAAGGCGAATTTTAGCGCACATGACCGTTCACACGCTTGTAAGATATATACTTCTGTCTTTTTTTTTCTTAAAAATATTGTAGTAGTGCGGCACCACAAGCCTCAGGTATAGGACAATGACCTTTTTGTGATGTCGCAACCCTCGAGGCTTGAATGAAGATATTTATTAGTTATTATTATTTTTATAAATGTACAGCACGTAAGTCTGGCGGCGCAGATGAATGCGGAAAATAAGCCGAATTAACAAAAAAAAATTTATTTGAACATGCCCCTAGTTAGAAAAATACTGCAACCGAAAAGCATTAAACTTCAACCAAATATCAAGCTTTATGCGGTTTCAGATAACTTAAATTTCAATATCAGCTTGGTCTGGTCATTTATGTTTTCTTCGAGATCGGTTCTCCGCTGTTACAAAGTCGTAGCACTTCGGTTTACAACATGTATGTTTTTGAATGATGGACTCACCATTGGTATCGGCCACATGAAACTGGCCCGTGATCTTCTCGTGCCCTCCATGAATGATGTTCCACTCGTCGATGTCGATCACGCCGTCGCCGTTGCTATCATACTTGCTGAACTCGAGGATGGATCCGAACTGCTCTACGCCTCCGGGGACCTTCTCGTCCCTCCCGGTTTCATCTACGCCTTCAACGAAGTCTGTAGCGTCAGCGCGTGTCTCGTACGGCGGTGCAACCTCTGTCCTCTCAACGTCGAGCCTCGCGACCTCTGGAACTGGGACAATCACCTCGCCATCCACGTTCTTCAAGCTTGTAGAGCCGATGTTGGGTGTGTCCTTGCTGCCGATTGTGGGTATCTCCTTGTTACCAATAGTGGGTATGTCCTTGGTACCTATTTCTCCCGCGGAGAAGGTTGACACCTTAACTGGAGTTGGTTCGACCTTGGGCTCTACCGCGGTGTGGCTGGGTGTAGCCTGATCAACGACCTTATGCACGTCCTTCTTGTGTTCTTCGCTAGTACCTTCGTGATGCACTCTTTCTGGCACCTTCTCCGGAAACTTCTCTGGATGTTTATCATCAGTCTTGTCCGCTTTCGTCACATGCCCGACTGCCTGGTGGTTTGGTCCTGCCAACTCGGCACTGTAGGAGCCCGGAATCTTTTCTTCTATGATCGGAATCTTCTCTCCTCCTATGGCCGTCGGCTGTTGGCTCCCGATGATGTCCGTCTGAGTTGGCGCGCTGATCCGTCCCTTAGGTTCCGGCACGGGTATGGCACGCGACGCAACCACCAAGACCAGCAGTGCAAGAAGTTTCCGCATCATGATGTGGTGAACAGTTAACGACCAAGTCCGAGGGAATAGTGTCTGATATTCGGGAGTTGCGCCCAGTTTTGAGCAGTTTCGCAAGGCTTCGGGCGGTTCGTGGTTCCTTCGCCCTGCCTCCTCTCTCTTGCGGCATCTCATAGGCTGGATCGGAAACGCGCCCTTTCCTTCTCAATGTGTGGACCAGCTTAGCCATTTGTTTTTATCACTGGACGGCGGTTTGGGCGATTCCCTCGCCCTTGTAGTGCCCCTCCTTTCGTGCGATGACTCTCGGATAGGTGTATGCCTCTCCAGGTTACGCTGGGCTAGGGCGGTTGTTCAACTCGCCCGGATGGCCTTCGGAAGAGCACGAGTTGAAGCTTGTCCACGAGTCACTCTCGGTGTGTTAATTATGTTGATGGGCCTAAAATAAAATAAATAAACAAGCTGGGAATCAAGCATAGCACGAGACGATGGAAATATTTTTTTTTTTTAATTTTAAATAAAACAATAAATATTCAAAGTTCAAGGCCCTAATATCTTTCGCAGATAAAAGGGGCCTCATTAAAGCCAGAAATAAAAAAAAAAATGTCAGTTAGAGTGAACGACCGACTACAGGTTGTATATACTAATTAAACGTGGTTGATAAAAATCAGCTTAAAAAACGGGGACGAAGAAAGGAACAAACACGACAGGACGGAGCTGAACTCGCAACGAAACTAATGTTCATTGTTAGATTGATATCTATAATTTGGATAAAGCTTTGACTGTTGTACGATATTTATTTATATATTTACACGTGTAGCTGCTATGCCGTTAAGTATTATCAGAAATACATGAGTGAAAACATAAAAAATATGCGCATAAATAAGCAAGCAAAAACAAGAATAACATAGCTTACTATACAAACGATTTCCGCAAAAAAAACAAAAGAAAAACAAAAAAAAAAGACCAGCATTGGCTACATAAACAAATTCTTCCGGCAACACATTCCAATAAAAATAGTTAAAAAACAAAACAGTTTGCATGGTAACTAATTCTTGCACTTTTTTAGAATGAACCTTAATGACACATAATTCGGTGCCAGGATGTAAATACCTCTTTCAATACATGCATGCCCACTATATATAGGTATTATAATAAAAATCAATTGCGAGCACTTTCTTTTTCTTTCAAGAAGGTTTCAACTTAATCTTTGTATCCTTTCAGTACAATGGGGGCTGCAGTCACTTATCGATCACAAATCTGGGCGCTTGACTTTGAATTCGCACTAACTTATGTGCGAGGTAACTTTAAGGGGCGTCCCAAATAACAGAAGCGTACTATAAAATCGGTCTGATGAAAGAAAAAGACAACGTTGGTTTCACGTTGCGGGATGTGTTTTTAAAATTCATAATACAACATTTTACTAGCTTTGGCTACGGTGTTATCTACGTGATCGTTCCCTTTTAAATTAGATGAAAAATAAGCTCCGAGATACTCATATCATTTTACGCGTTCAAGTTTAATTTTGTTGGTTCATACATATTCGGAGAATAATTCGCCGAAAGCACGTGTATTTGCATTTCTTAATATATATTATCATTTCACAATAATCCCACGTCAGTCCTCAAACACTTCTAAATCGCTCTGCAAACTTCGAGCGTCTGTGTCATTTTCCTCAATTCTGTACACTACACAATCATCCGCAAATAACTTATAATCAAACTGTGTGTTTGCACCAATTTCAGTAATGAATATACGGAGCAATAACGCCCCAGTACACTTCCCTGCAGAACCCTAGAAGTAACGACTACTGGCGCGAACCTTTGAGCATTCAGCACGGCGCTTTGTTCACGACCGGACAGTTGCTCAGCAATCCACTTGGTGACCGTACAGTTAATACCCAGTGATACAAGCTTCTTACATAAAAGAAAAATGCTTTACACAAGTAATAAAATGCAGAATCTACACATTTTCTATTCTCTATCTGTACCATTCGAAATAAATCGGTAAATTCCGCTACCTGCGTAACGAACGAAGAGCGTGGACGGGAGCCGTGCTGGGAGAAAGTAAAACATTACAAGATTCAGGAAAACAAAATACAGAGCTATGTAATCTACCTTCGAAAAACTTAAAAGCAACACAGGCTAGCGACGCTGGACGGCAACTTTCGACTAGATATTATGATCCAGACTTAGAAATCGAAGTTACATTCGCCATTTTCCAGACGCTCTGAACTTTTCTAATGATTTTGTTAACTACCATTTGAATAGCGTGCGATTTCTTCTTTACAGGCGCGAAAAATTACAGGCGAAGGCCCGTCTGGTTCATGGGCTTTGGAAGTATCAGTACCTTCAAGTAGGGCAAGAATTCCACCTACTCCAACCTCCACATCTGGCATGACCACTTTTATTGTCCCGGCAGAAACAGAAATATCACTGCTAGGATACAGACACGGACTTGAAGAATCTGTTGAAGCAATCGGCCTTTTCGATATCACTATTTACTAGATTACCACTAGATAACACAGCAGGAATAGAAGTATTCCTTTTTTTTTATTTTACATATTTTCGGACCTCTCTAGGATCGCTTATTAAGTTTTCGTTCAGGACTCAAGGAAAATCTGTTTGCTTCCCTGCACATTTGTTTTTAGGTCTGCGGTTATTTTTTCCAGCTTGTTTCAAGATACCAGACGGATTTCTCCGATGCTTTTTAAGTAATCCTACGTTTTTGTTTTACTTGTTTCTGAATTAAGGGTGTTATCTACGTTTTATGTTTTTTATTCATATTAAAATTCTTCGATAGTATGTAGCAATCGGCGAGCACCTTAATTTTTTTCTTTTAACACTTGCAACAACTGATAAACATTGCTTTGGTCGTGCAACTTAAAAAAAAAATAATACAGCATGGATAAAATTTTGAGGAAGCAGGTTCGTTAGTTTTCTTGACCGTACAACAAAATATTTGCGTGGAGGCCTGAATACCCTCTTCACCCTATTTAACAATAAATCACATACAACAGCACTGTGGTCGCTTATAGCTGGAACTACAGTTACGCTAGAAAGAATACTGGTATTATTAGTCAGTAGTAAATCTAGAATAGAACCTCTTCTTGTTGGTATTAAAACACATTGTTCTAGAAAAAATAAAATAACAATTGCATTAAAATAACGCCGTTGTGATCACACGAATACACGGTTTAATGATACTCATCTAGTTAGAAACGGCCAGGGGCAGGCAGGTGGTTGAGGCTCAGAAAAACCTTGAAGCGATCTGGCAAAGTGCCTCCCTACCCCCTTGCACGCTGGTAGTAATCCGATCGAATGCCACCCGAGTGACGCTGGCATATAATAAGTTTAGTTTGTACATGATGGAAATTCCTGAGACTGGGAATGAAATTTGAAAGAAAAAGCGTCAGAAGACAGAAAAAAGGGGACAGGACAACGTCTCGTGCTCAGCTCAGGACAACGTCTCAAACTCGACTTGGCTGAGTTTGAGGCGTTGTCCTGTCCCCTTTTCTCTGTCTTCTTACACTTTCTCTTTCAAATTTCATTCCCAGTCTCAGGATTCTGAATCAAGATGAACATACACCAGCTCGCCTGCACCTTGACAATTTTTTAGTTTGTAATTGCTTTGGCCGTTTATTTTCCGGGACGGAAGAAACGCTGAGGAAACAGCACAGAAGCCGACACAACTCGAGGTCGAGGAGCGTCTTACCATACCAGTGACGTCGGAAGAGGAAAAACGGGGGGGGGGGGGGGGGGGGGGGGGGAAGAAGGAAGGGGGGAAGGGGGGGGAAGGGGGGGGAGGGGGGAGGGGTCTTCAGTACCTCCCCCCCCTCCCAGATATTTCGGACTGCTAAAAAAAACAATACGGGGAAAGAGGGCGTGGTCGAGCTTATTTTAAACAAATTATTTCTGAATATGTCGCTCTTCACTGCATAAAAGATCGCCTAGATGGTCATTGTTAGAAACTCGTTGTCAGAAGGCACTACTCGTCACATGCTTAGTGGTTCGGAAGTTCAAAGCTATGTCTTTTCAACCTAAATAACTGTGCCATTGGTGTAAAAAAGAAAAAAAAAAAAAAACATAACAATAAATGCGGGGATGAAAAGCTGGAGAGGAAAAAGAAAAAAGACTATATAAACCCGCCGGAAGTGTTGTATTCTTGCATATTCAGAGGCCCAGAACTTTGAAAAAACTTTCTCCTATCAAAATATGTACAGGCTAAAATAAACACGCCCCAAGAACGTTAAATGAAAAAAAGAAAGAAATTAAAAATGGCTGTTTTTTTTAATGACGCACTGAGCTTCAACAATATTAGAAATCTTCCCCTATGTGTTAATTTATTCCTCAACGTTAAAAAAAACAATAAATACATTATTTTGTATTTGGCAGATGGCAATGATCTGTACTGTCTGTGGTGTTAATTTAAATGCGATACCTCAAACAATTTAGACGAAAAAAATGACCAAGTTTAGGGCATAATTTCCCGTAGATACGTGTTTGGACATTTCTTCGAAACTCTTCTTGGACGATAATAATCATATCTTAAGACGACACTTACCTAGGCTATACATATATCCTTCTTAAAAAGTTTACCATCTCTACCATAAATAGCTTCGGCTATAGCGCGCTTCAAGTATGGCACAAACAACAATTGCCAAAAACCCGTCGCCCTTCCTCGCTCCTTCGGGAATTTATTTCTTTAAAACTAAGCATGCCAGAACATTGAAATATACGGCATTGTCTTTCGCAAGGAATGTAACACCGCATGTAAAAACGCGAAAAAATAAATTACGAATTTACATCACTGCTTGAATCCCAATAAAACCTCCCGCCGGTTTTTTGAAGTTCGACGAACTTCGAACTTTTACCTTAAAGGTCGAAGTTGTCGAACTTTTGACTTTTCAGGAATTGAAAGTTCGAACTTTTTCAATAGTGACAGATGGGCCAGTTGGTACATGACTTATTTTCACAAAATGCGCCGCAAGACAAGGACAGAAACGAATTCGAATTTTTTGAATTATTTAGATAAATAAGTTGGGAAGTTCGAAAATTATCGATTTCTTAGCGTGGGAAGGTCGAAAGTTCGAAAAGCTTCGAACTTTTTAATACAAAAAATTGAGAGTTCGAATATCATCAAATATTTTTTAGTCTATCAAGTTCGAAAGTTCGACATGCATTGGATTTTGCAGCGTAATAAGTTCGAAAGGTCGAAAAGGGTCGAATGTTTTTAGCGTAATAAGTTCGAAGGTTCGAAAAACATTTAATTTCGGAACGTGCAAAGTTCGAACTTTCGAAAAACGTCAAACTTCTTAGTTTAACACGTTCGAAAATTCGCCTTCTGTCAAATTTCTCGATATGGAAAGTTCGACAATTCGATATGTTTCGAACCTATCGAACCGCTTGACTCGATCATCGAACCTTCGGTTCAAAAAAATTCGCGGAATCCCTATACATCGGGTTCAATGTAATGTACTTGAAGTAAAGTACTATAAATGCAGGGTACTTGCAAAGTAAGGTGT